CTTTATTGTTTGTATGCTTCCTATTTAGGGTTGCAATCATTGGGAGTTGTAGGGTGAGAATTAAGGGTTTGTATGTTTTTCCCACCAGTAGATATCCAACAGTTCCAGCATCACTCTGAGAAAAGACCATGTTTCCCCACCACCTGCATTATTCCGTTTATCATCAAGAAAGTGTCTGTAATTTCCTGGGCTTGTTTTTGAAGTTTCTTTTCTATTATTCCATTGACTATTTTCTAAGTTTGAACGAATGCAAACCTATCTCAATTGCTCTCACATTTTAAGGTGTGCTATCAAATACACATAACCTTTCCAGTTTTTTCCTTCTCACTTAAATCAATTTTATTATTTTTGTCCAGTTAACCAAATCAAATTTTAGCCTTGGAATAATTAACCAACCAAACAACACTGAAACAAAAAATAAAACCAAAACCCCTCTCACTCCCATACAGTTAATTCCTACTCATACATATAGTGACCTATGTGATATTGCTATAAACAACCAAATTCACTGTCATTGAGTCAATTCTGACTCACAGCAACTTGAACAGGCAGGACAGAAGTGCCCCTCACAGTTTCTGAGACTGTCACTCCTTGTGGAAGTAGAACGCCTTGTTTTTCTTCTGCGAAGTGCCTGGTGGTTTTGAACTGCTGCCCTGGACGTTTTAAGCCCAACCTGAAAGCACTGTGCCATCAGGGCTTTGATCTTTGGTGCAGGCATTCTTAAAACTTCCTGTTTGTTAACTCTTTGTAGTCTTGAGTAAGGTTTGCCAGTTTCAGAACTTGTAAGGCATTTCCAAAGTACGTAACATGCTTTTACAATAGTCTATATATTGAATAAATGTAACCCAGTCTGCAAAACTCATTGCATTAATTGGTAACCTGAACGCTAGTGAAATGTTAGTCATTTGGGGGGAAAATTTAATATCTGGAAATCCAGTTCACGATGATGAATCTATACCAGTAACCACATTTTAGCCGACATTTTCTGTTGAATTTATTTTTCTCTCCAATTCATAATCAAGCATCACTTTTTTTATTATTTACTGTGAAGCAGGAATTTTGAGATAAACTCCCAAAGCTATTTCCTTTAAAGACCTTTCAAAACCCCACAGCACAGCTTTAATATCTACTTGTTACAGTGTTATTGTTAGACTTAAATTTAGTGGAAACGGGGCTTCCTATTAGTTCTTTGGTTTTAAACTCATAAATCCCTTTCATTAAATCTTTTTTATTAACATTTCTCAAGCTCCCACAAGTGTTTGAAAATATTACTGTGAAGCATTTGAGCACACTGGGACCTGCATTTGCGAAATGTATTTTTTTCGTATAAAATGTGGTTGGAAATAATTTTCTGTTTTCAGTTCAACAACAACAACAAAGCTGGGATAATGCTTGTACTCAGGTACTTGCCCTTCATGTCATATTCTGAGTATGCTCCGGTCCCTCCAACACATCTTTAATATTCTTAACATTAAAGGCCTTAAACACTTTTAAAGTGTTGGTGGAAATGTCGAGATAAAGAATGAATGAAAACACTGCCAACAGTTTCCAGTAGCTACTTAGAATCGTGTGCTCAGAGTGACTTTGTTTCCTCCCCGGATGGCTATATTTACAATTAAAATTATTGAGGTATGTTCAGTAAGATAATTCAAACATCTAGCTGGTTGAGTTTAATTCCACTCTTGCTTTCATTCACCCTGATGGATTTGAGCACAGCCATGGAAGGCTAACTGTTCGAAATAAATACACAAAGAATAGTTAAGGGACTCAAGGGTCCCATGGAAAGTTCCTGGGGGATTCAGGGAATCAACAGGGAGACATGTAAAAGAGACCAAAAGGGGGTCATTGAACAAGGAAGGGTAGGTGGATAAAGACTTGAGAGTAAAGAAAAGGAAATGTTTTAGTCAGGGCTTTGTAGAGTTAGCCAAGTAGTATGAATAAAATTGATGGGTCAGTGTGTGTAGATGGGATTAATCTCTCAAAATTGATCTGTTCAGTAAAGATCTTTGTAGGAATCCCCAGACTAGCAATTCACAGAAAGGACCTGTCTCTTTAGCTGTCCCTCGTGTCAGGAAATCGTCAGAGGAGACTATCTCAATAAAAAAATCATTTTATTGGAGCCTCATACAATTCTTATCACATATCAGCTCCTCATTTCCCCCCTCCCTCCCCATTTCCTCCCTCCCCCCTCCCTCATGAATCCTTGATAATTTATAAATTATTATTATTTTGTCTTACATTGTCGGATGTCTCCCTTCACCCACTTTTCTGTTGTCCATCACCGAGGGACGAGGTTATATGTAGATCCTTATAATCGGTTCCCCCTTTCTACCTCACCTTTCCTCCACCCTCTGGTATTGCCACTCACACCACTGGTCCTGAAGGGATCATCCATCCTGGATCCCCTGTGTTTCCAGTTCCTATCTGTACCAGTGTACATCCTCTGGTCTAGCAGGCTTTTTAAGGTAGAATTAGGATCATGATAGTGGGGGGAAGGAAGCATTTAAGAACTAGAGGAAAGTTGTATGCTTCTTCATTGCTACACTGGCTCATCTCCTCCCCCTACCTTTCTGTAAGGGCGTGTCCCATTACCTACTGATGGGCTTTGGGTCTCCACTCTGCACTCTCCCTCATTTACAATGATAATGATTTTTTGTTCTCTGATGCGTGATACCTGATCCCTTTGACACCTCATGGTCACACAGGCTGGTGTGCTTCTTCCACATGGGCTTTGTTGCTTCTGAGCTAGATAGGTGCTTGTTTATCTTCAAGCCTTAAAACCCCAGACACTATATCTTTTGATAACTGGGGACCATCAGCTTTCTTCACTACATTTGCTTATGCACACATTTGTCTTCAGTGTTCATATTGGGAATGTGGGCACACAATGATATGATTTTTTGTTCTTTGATGCCTGATACCTTATCCCTTTGAAACCTTGTAGTTACCCAGGCTGGTGTGCTTCGTCCATGTGGACTTTGTTGCTTCTGAGCTAGATGGCCGCTTAATTACCTGCAAGCCTTTAAGACCCCCAGATGCAGTATCTTTTGGTAGTCAGTTACCAGCAACTTTCTTCACCACATTTGCTTATGCACACCTTTGTCTTTAGATAATTTTAAAATCTGTACCATCAAATATTCTGGGACTTGTATCAGCAGCAGCTACAAAGTTGAATCTAGTTTTTGATCTCATGGTCCAACCTTGCTTCATGCCGCTAACCATACTCACTGACTGAAGGTGGTCTCATAGTTTACCATAACAAATTACATTGAGCTCTGGTTCATACACTCTCCAAAGCCTCATGATGATTTCCTCTTTAGGTTTTAATCCATTAATCTCCTGGGTTTCCTTGTGGCCATACCCCAGTCCACCTCTCTTTCAGTTCTGAGTACTCCAGCCTTACTCTTACATTACCCTACACTGCTATGGGTAAGCCTTTACAGCAGGAAAGTGCTTGTTTTACTTCACTCTAATTGTATTGTCTTCTTCACCCTCATTTTCATGTAGATGTTAGGCAATAAGAGTAATTTACATCTCACCTGTCTAAGCAAAGTGATAAGCAGAGGAGTCAGCAAAAATTGGGATATCCTGCAAACCCACACCTGCTTAACAAACATTAAAACCCACCTGAGCCATTTTTTGCTCTGATACTTTAATTCAGCATAGCGTTTGATGTGTTTGCTTTCGTCTGTGCCATCCTATCTTAATAGGAAGACATTATGGTAATAAATCTTTTAGAAGAATTATACAATAAATTGGAAAATAAAGATGTCCCAAATGTGCACATCATCCTATACTCTATGCTGCTCCATTTCCTTCCACACACTCCTCCCTGAAGTATTTTTCCATATTACCCCGGGGTCTGTGATTTGTTACAAAGTCTCACAGAAACTTTAAGGAAATGTCTTACATGGTGGACATTGTTGTTAAGATCTAAATCTAAAGGTCAGCCAGAGGCTACCCAAATGTACAGTCAAGAGCCAGATGCCAATACTGTCCAAAAGACACACCTGGTCTTATAGCTTCTACCAAAACTCAGTTAGGAAATCCAGGTATAGCTTTCAGGTGATGCGTGTCACAATTGTATAATGGTACCAGCTTATTTACTTATCCAAGGAAAACACAGGATGTTGTCCTGAGTGACACACTTGAGAAGTGTCCTAAAGATGTCCACACGCAAGCAAAGGGGGTGACCTGGTCCACACCCCCTGCAAAGGGAAGTCTAAAGGTGTCCCCAAGGAAAAGGCTGTGACTTGGTTCCCTCTATTTAATGAAGTGAGGTCTTGATTACACCTAATCCTGTCCAATAGTTCAGTAGAGAGCACTTTCCAAGATGGGATTATAAGCACAGACATAGAGTCCAGAATTACACGGCATCATATAAGGAATTACAACTAGAAAGGCCATGTTGATTGACTCCAACTCAGATATTACAAGTGGGAAGGTTCTACTTCTGAACATTTTAGCCTCTTATCTTTTATCAGAAACATGCTTATAGTTTTGCTTTATTCTTTGATACAGTAAAATTTTATCCAGTGCAGGCAAAATTAATGTGTGTGCATATTGACCAATATTTTCTCTATTCATAGTGTCATAGAGTGCAATAACAACTATAGTTCTACATGCATGGATATATTGTATAATCTCATAGTGTTCATTTTATATCTGTAAATTTAGTTTCCCCAACAAGAATCATTTACTCCGTTCTAAAAGCATGATACTCTCCAGAGCATTGGCAGACCTTTAGAAGACTGATATTGACATGTTGTGTCGAAAAATGACAGAAAAACAATCTCAGAATTTTCAATATGAGTAGTCAAGTGCTGTGTTTTCTTTTTTCCTCCTCTTTTATTTTGGTTATTCTATTCTTCTCTTTATCCTGGAATACACTATTTGTGATTCACCATTCACTACTTGGGCATGAAGACTCTCAAAATAAGTTAAAAATTCTTCAGTTAAAGATGGCCAAAATAATGTATTTCCATGTTTTTATTTTTCAGATCAAAACTGTGGAGGCTTAGTCCAGGGTCCAAATGGCACCATCGAGAGCCCAGGATTTCCTCATGGTTATCCAAACTATGCGAACTGCACCTGGATCATTATCACAGGAGAACGCAATAGGATACAATTGTCATTTCATACTTTTGCTCTTGAAGAAGACTTTGATATTTTATCAGTTTATGATGGACAACTCCAACAAGGGAATTTAAAAGTGAGGTAAAGTATCTTTTTTTTCCCCCCCAAAATGTATATGGAATTGAGTATGCCAATTCTTAAATGATATTGGAATTCACATTTGAGTTTCATTATCAGAAATAAAAGTTTATTATAAAAGGCATAGCTATGTGCCAAATTATGCACATTTTCAATAAGGTAAACAATTATTACCATCACTTATAGATAGAGATATGAAATTACTCAAGAGTGTAAAGCAGTAATATTAAGGTGATTTACATAAAGACACAATACACTATTGTTTTTAAGCAACTGTGGATTTGAGAGAAAATGGAAAAAGATAAATGTGTGAATAAAATGAAGAGAAAAAAACAAAGCTATATTACAGAAAATGCTGTCAATTAAAAGAACGAAGGTAATAGGTGGTGGTAAGAACATTGAGGAAGGTTGTATTCTTGAATAAAAAATTGATTTGCAGATTATGATATGTTCTGCCTCCACAAAAGTCCCTTACTTTATTCATAAAAAGTGAGAAAAAATAAGCAAATCTTATTTGTAATTCAGTTAATATCCAAATATGCATTAATAATATTTTTGAATGATTATTCATATAGTTGAAATGGTGATATTAACTATATAGTATATTTTATTATTATAGAGTATTCTAAGCTTTTTTACATGTAAAATAACATTATGTTTTTGATTGGGTCATCTACAATATTTTTTACATGTTTTTAAAAAATTTTGTCATTTGACCAGTCTGTCATAATTTATACACTGGTATCTCTCTTTGCATTATATCTATAGCTAATACTTTTTAGCTTGATATGCCTTCTTATCCATATTTCTGCTATTCTGAATTCATTATATGCTAGTTTTTGTTCTCATTTTTTCACTACTAGGAAAAATTAATATGTTGTAATAATAGTAAGAATTGTAATAGATACTGCTAAAACTATGGCAAAAGGGGGAATTAGGAATCCAAGATTAGGCAAATATCAGCCCAAATAAACATGTATACTTTTAGAGAATTTATCTTTTATTCTGTCAAGATTTTTATTTTCTATAGTTCTTGCATACAAAGGAAATTGGTCTTAAGATGAAGGTCAGTCAAAAATTATGCATCAGTTTATTCCAAACATGATATGTTGAAAGGTGACTCTATATTCAATAGATAGCAACAGAAATGTTCTCTCTGTCATAGATTTGTCTTAGACTCCATGGTGTACCTTTAAAAATGTCCTATCATAAGAGTGGGTTCAGAGGGGATCTGTTGACCCATCCAGATTAAAAGTGCAAAGTTTAGCTGAGAAGGTTATGGTGACTCTCATAACCTTGATAGATTTCCTCGAAAAAAATTCTGATCATGAGAATTTATTATGAAGAAACTTTGAGATAATTGAAAATGGTATTTGTGAACAAAAAGGCCAAAAAAGTTGTGCTGAGGATTTATTTTTACCCCCATCACAATATCTGCAAATACTTGGAAGGTAGCAAGGATGTCCCACAAGAATTTTGTTGGAAAAACTTACTCTATCCACCCCCACACTTCTGATCATTTCCCCTTCAAACTTCTTTTTGTTCCTGAAACTCAAAGAACTTTTTAAAAGGCCATAATTGGAATCTTTCGAGGATGTCAAGAGAGCTGTATTGAAGGAGTGTGAATGGAAGAAAGAGTGCAGAATACTTTTGGGAAGCATTGGACAAAAGGAAATATCGCCTTTAAAAGTGTATATATTGTGATAGAGGATGTATCCAGAAAAAACAGCTTCACATTTTTATGGTTAATAACTGCTTGTATCATTTTTATGGCAGTACTTTTTGATGTATTTTCATATGCTAATTTGATTAACTAGGTAACATTACACAATCCACTTTTCTTCTGCATGGTGAGAATAAGATTATTTTTAATGTCAAATAAATACAAAGCTTAAAAATGGTACTTCTGCTATTTTCACTATTAGAAGATTCATCGGTGGACAATAAAGATCAGAACAGTTTGATTCATTGCTCTGTCTTTCAAAGTTCCAGAGATAATATATAGTGATGTTTATACTTCTGAGAGCTTTATAGGAACCAGTGAGTTGCATGTAAAATACCTTGCTGACTTTATTTATACAAAAATATTTTTGGAAGAAAAAGAAAGAGACTGGGTAATAAGAGACTAAATGGGTAAATATGACTCAGTTAGCAGTAGATTTGTTTTACTTAGAGGAGAAAAAGACTGAGTTGTATTCCTCTCTGTTTGTATAATGTTTATGGTAACACGTAAACCCTTAAGTTTAGGATGGCGCTTTCCTCTCTGTAATAAACTGAACAATGAACAACCTTCCCTCTACTTCTTTTTTAAGTGGATATTCTAAGTGTGAACATGAAGTGTATGAGGGTCAAAATGACTTCCCAGGGTTATATCACAAAAAGATAAAAACATCATAAATGTATGTATATCACATAATTCTAAGAGCTATTAATGCTTACTTAAATAAATTCAGAGAGAAATCAATGATGTTAAAAACAAATGTGAGTATTGTTTTGGGAAATACACAGAGAAGGACCCAGTAGTTGAACATCAGTTAATGGGAGGAGTAATTATAAATAGCATCCAATTCTAATTAATTTGGGGAAAGAGGGCTCTAATGCCATTTGTTTTCCTGTTATATCTTGGAACAGTTGTTTATTTCTCAAATACAATTAACTAACAACGTTTACACAGCTCCAGAATGCAAATGAGGGATACTTTTGTGAGGGGATGGATGTGCGGAGCCGCTGAGCTGTGAGCTGGCATGAAAGTTATTACTTATAGCTGTCAGGGTCTATTGTCTTTACTGTTCCACAAAAGCCATTTTTAGCAGCTCTAAATGTACGCTAACTAAAAAAATGAATTACTATTTGTTTTGTTAAGCAACTTGAGCATTTTACTCTAAAGAACTTTATTTTGTATAACAAGAAGGGCATTTTCTAAATATACTAAAACAATCTAGATTTAGCTCCCAACTAACAAATAAAATATAGAAATTGGAGTTTTAAATTATTGATATTTACACTATAGCCTAGTGTACCCCACTTTACCCCAAAGTCCACAAACATTGAGTAAATTCTGATTCGAAGAAATATATGTTTTTACCAAGTTAAAAATAGTTAAAATATATTAATATAATGTATAATTCATATTATCATCTTGGAAAATTATTGTAATATAAGCACATACACAAACTCATATATGATTTGGCCTTCCATAAATACATTAATATGTGAATACCAAGAGGCAACGTATGGCTTCTCTTAATTTAAGCACATTAGGAATTATTCCAAATTAAAATAAACGTCCACATTTTTATTTCTATAGAAAGAAAAATATAGCTATTGTGTATTTATTTTTGAGCTCTTGGTGTATTGCTACTTTCTGAATCTTTTATGTTTATTGACTTTATGCTGCAGCTTCTCAAATCTCTAAGTATACCTAACCACACAATCATAGAATATTTATTGTTCATATCTCTCCATACAATTATTTTATTCTCATAGTAAATTCCTCAATGAAACCCCTTGCTTTGTCGTAAGTCCCCAAACTCAAGCCTACTGCTGTCCTATAGATTCTGACTTGTGGTGACCCTGTAGGGCACAGCAGAACAGCCAGCAGGGATTTCAAAGCTATAATTATTAGGAAACAAACATAACTGATGTTGTCAATTCCTGATCATTTTGGTTAGCAATAAATGCTTTAAGCATGATACCACTAGGGTTCCTTTATCATAAATTGACTAATACATATTGATTGACACATGCTATGACATTCCTGCTACTTGGTTCATCTCACTCAAATCCAGAAACATTTGATACACTCTGTCAAATCTGTGTCACACATTGCCCACAAGATAAACTTTTCTAGTACATTTTGGACTTTTATTCAAAGCACTCGATTATCTGACCCTGAACTGTACTGCAGTCCTTCAGTCTTGGTGATGTTTCCCCTGACTCTGCCCACCTGTGAAAATTGCTCATTCACTTACATGGCTCCATGGATTATTCCTTGATCTGACCTTGCTAGAGAAAACACTATTTGAGTTTCCTAATACTTCATTTTGCTCTTCTAAATGGAAAAAATTTTAAAAATCCAATTCATGTCATATTTAATCAGGAAATCTTTAGATCCTAAATTGAAGAATAAATAGTAACTTTCTGTTTCCTATGGCACCGGAGACTAAGCATACTTTTAAGCTTAGGCACCTCTGAAATGACAATTGTTCTGAGGTTACATTTGTTTGGAATGTACATATCTTTGTCCAACTACAAGATGCTCTGAGGACACTATGAGTTGAGCACTAGACCAATAACCACAGAGTCTGTGGTTGAAATGCACTAGCCACTCGAGTGCAGGGAGATGTAGTGGTTGGTTCCCATAAATATTCAGAGATCAGAAATCCTTTGTAGGGATGCTATGACTTGGAATCAACTGAAAAGCAGTTGTTTTTTGAATTTAGTTTCTTGGGTTTTTGTTTTCCTTAATAATACTCCAGCACGTAGTTGCTGAAGGCAAGAGAGATGATGATAATATGTCTTTTCCAGTGATAAATCAAAGAGTTAAGAAATCTGAGTTGAGTCACTTTCATTAAAATGTTTCAGAGTAGAGAACTAGCCATCATTGACTTCTCTGTATATAATTTACACTACTTAATATAACCTTCTCCTTTAAATAAGCATTTTATTTTTTTCCCAAGGTAATGACTAGTATCTTGAGATAGTCTTTCAATTTGAAGTAGTATATGCTATCACAAAATCATTGAAGTTGTTTGACTTCAATAGGTGTTAAACCTATCTCCAACTGTGACATTATTATAATATCAAATAATCAGGAGAAATCCCTTTAAAGGATCAGAAAGTGAATACTTATAAGCATAATACATAAATATATAATATGACATAATAAAATAAATGAGTACTATATAAACATAATATAAATAAATATAAGAATAAGAAGGAACACTATATTGAAAATGTAGAAAGCCAGTAGGAGTATATTATTTTGTGACTTTTACAGAATA